ATACATTGGTGTGTAATTTTATTTTCTTGGGATGTCTTTATCTGGCTCTGGTATTAGGATAATGTTGGTTTCATAGAATAAGTGAGGAAGTGACTTCATTCCTTTTTATGGCTGAATAATGTCCTATTGTTTGAATATACCACATTTTGTTTATCCATTCATTAGCTGATCAATATTTGGGTTTCTTCTACCTTTTGGTTATTATTAACTATACTATAAACATTCATATACCAATTTTTAGGGGAACTTGATCCAGAGAGAGCTTGGAATGGCTGAGGAATTAAAAGGAAGTCAGTGTTACCAGAACTCAGAGAGAATATGGAAATTGGGGGATACAGTGAGGCGAGAGCAGTCGGCAGATGTCTGACCACACAGAGCTTTGTGTAACACAGTGAAATGTGGGTCTTGATCCGGAGAGCCATGGGATGCCACTGGGTGGTGTTAAGCAGGACCTGACTTTATTTGACATTTTGTAAAGGTCCCTCTAGGTCCTGTGTGGAAGACCATGGAAGGGGCCCAACTGGCTGTAGGAAGACCATGGAGGAGATACTATTACAGTTGTCCAAGGGGAGAGAGGATGGAAGCTGGGATGAGGATGGGTAGTGTGAAAGGAGAGAGAAATGGAAGTTTAGAGAGAGATAGGCAGGTGGATTTCAGGGCTATGGGGAAGCTCAAGGACAACAACTGGAAGATATCCAGTCTGAGCACCTGGATAGATGATTGGTGAAGAGAGGGGGAGGCAGGATTGAGAAGGCAGAGAGGGAGTTCCACATGCAAGATGACACCAGCTTACCATCAGTTTCTGGCCCAATCCCCTCATTTTACAGATGGGGCAAGCGAGGCCTGAGGAGCAGAGTGATTAACCCAGGGTCCTCCATCATGGTCTGAACAGAAGGGGATGGGACTTCAGGAGTCCTGTTGCCCAGCCAGAGCACTTACTTTCCAGGAGGCCCACTGTCTCCAGCCTCAGAAAACTATTTTTTTAGCTGAGAGAGGGCAGGGTTTTGAGGCTGATGGATTTGTCCCAGGCTGGAGGCCAGTTCCAGCCCCCAGAGAACAGAATATCTCTGTTTCATGAGGGCAGCCCATGCCCTGACTCTAACCAGCTGACCTGTCTGGGTCTGGTATGAGTAATTTGACATCAGGAGGGTGTGGGGCGCTCACATCAGAGTGGCTGACAAATTAGAGGCTTATCTGCACTCCCGGATTTGGCATTGATCAGAACTGGGTCCAGATCCTGAACTTTCCCCTCTTTGCCTTGTGACCCCTCTCCTTGCCATTTGACTTGGGCAAGGCACCTTCCCCTCCCCAGTCTTCATTTGGTCTTCTCATCTGTAACATGGGGACATCCCAGAGTATGACTTTGGTTTCCTCAGCATTGTAGTGACCATCAGATGAGAAAACAAATGGACCAAAAGGTCTTTGTAAACTGTAAAGTGCCTAAATGTCTATTTGGGCCCAGTCCTACCTTTGCCCCAAGCCACTACTCAGTGGATTCCTAAGGCTTTGCTCCCCGACAAGATAGTCCACCCCTCTGGAGAGGATAAAAGTCTGGCATGGACCTCAGAGACCCAGAGATTTTATCACCCTGGCCTGGGAGACTTGATAAACCCATTGGACAGGTGGAGAAAACAGAGAGGCGCCCACTGGCTCAGAGTCCCAGGCTGTTATGCTTAGATTCAAAGGCAGGGCTCTCTGATTCTAAAGATGCAAAAAATCCTTTCCTGTTCAATGACCCAACTGGACAGGCAGGATAAACTGAGGGCCAAAGGGGAGGCAACAGGGTGTAAGTGCCACCTGAGGTCCTTGCCTTCTTCTACCACCTTTTGCCTACCAACCCCTCACATGTGAAAGGGGGCACCCATCATGGTGAACTATACGTCGTCATGTCATTGGTAGACGCGGGGTTCCTTGACAGCCCATCTTCTAAGCACAAAGGGACACTGCACCTCTGCCTCCTCCGAGCAGCCTCTTAGGGGCTGAGGCTTTGCTGACACAAAGCTCTGTTGTCACGAGTGGGACATCTCCTGGGCGAGGTCACATGCCATGCACCCACCCACCGTGGGCAGGTTAGGGCTGAAGGCAATTAATCAGAAAACTAAGAAATCCACATGATTCAAAGAGCAAAAAATTCTTTTGGAATCTTGGTGGCCTCTGGAGAAATTTCTTCCTTGATTTGCTGGATAATGAAAGCAGGGACTGGCTGGGCTGGTGCCAAAGTATGATAACAGATACAATCACTTACTATGTTCCAGGCACCTTTCTAAGGGCTTTCCACGTATTCATTCATTTAATACTGACAGCAATGGGATCCCTGGGTGGCGCAGCGGTTTGGCGCCTGCCTTTGGCCCAGGGCGCGATCCTGGAGACCCGGGATCGAGTCCCACGTCGGGCTCCCGGTGCATGGAGCCTGCTTCTCCCTCTGCCTGTGTCTCTGCCTCTCTCTCTCTCTCTCTCTCTCTCTGTATGTGTGTGTGTGTAACTAACATAAAAAAATTAAAAAAAAAAAAAAGAACTAATACTGACAGCAAGGCTCTGAGATCTGATTAGTCTTATTTTATGGGTAAGGCAACCAAGGCACAGAAAGGTAGCACAACTTGGCCAAGGACTCACAGCTTGTGAGTCAGGGAGCCTGGGCAGAAATCTGGCCTGTCCAACTCCAGAGCCACGTGATGGACCACTTTGCGACCCTGGCTAGCGTGCTACAAGAGACCAGATGTGCAGTGCCCAGAGGATCAAGACCAGCTCAGCCAAGGCCCCTGGGGCACTCGGCAGCAGCCCAGGCTCAGCAGGATTTCTGAGGAGACAAAGCCTGTGACCAATTCAGAAACAGCAATCAGCCCAGGCTTGTCCCAAGATAAGTCCAAGGTATCAGTGTGGTACCAAGTCCTGGCTCTGCCACTCACTGCATAACACTTGTCGGAGTCTTGGTATCCTCCCCAGTAAAATGGAGTGAAATTGGTATTGTATTGACTTCCTAGGATTGTCATGAAAGATCCAGTGAGCCTTGTAAAGCTTCTAAAGTGCTTAGCACCGAGCTAGGCGCTAAGAAAATGCAGCATAAATGTTAGCTATTATTATTATTATTATTAATTTGTTTTTATATACTAGTATGCATCATTATATTTCATGTCTGCCTCCCCTCTCCCTCATGGGCTGCTCTTGGGGTTTGGCTCTTTTTAGAGTCAGTGGGATGCACAAGATGGCTTTGGGGAGCCCTCCCTTCCAAGGATTCGGGGATCATCCATCCGCCTCCTCAGCCCCTCTCCTCCCTTACAGTGTCTTGTATTCTCTCTCAGAAGTTAGCTTCTATCCTTGCACCCCAGGTGCCCTGGCTCCCTGCCCATGGTCCCCACTGGTTGGATGCTGTTGCTATGGCAACAGCATTTTAAGAGCCTTCAGCCCCCCTCTGAGGCGACAGGCATGGATGGAGGTGGGCTTATCACCGCCTCCTGCATCCTCAGGCCAGTCTGGATGGAAGGCAGGAGAGTGGAATGCAAGAACGTGGGCTGGCCTGGGCTGGGGGGCCAGCTCAGACCCTAGCCTCAAGTGTGGCCCCACAGTACCTCACCTCGCCGTGTCGCAGGGGAAACACCCAAGTAGTTGATTACAACTGCAGTTCCCTGCCATGCCCTGGCTCCAAGGGTCTGATTTTAATTATCTGGGTGGGACCCCCTAGGAAGCTGCCTTTGATCAACTCTGCTCATGGTTCTGAGGCAGACAAGCCACAGACCACACCTGAAGAAATCTCGAGTCTTAGAAGATTCCTGAAGCCAACTTGGGCATTGAGGTTTGTGTTGCTTTCTCTGCTGAGCTGTTTCCCAAAAAACTTGCCTGGCCCTCCCAGGCACACTCCCATCCAGCTTCCTTCTCTTTCCAGAGTTGAGCTGAGTGCCCCACCCTCTGCCCGGAGCTAGGAAGATTCCAGGGCCAGGCTGCCAGGGGCCACCTTATTAATATATCCTAGGCAGGGACAGGGCCTCATACTTTCCCAGCATCATGACACTCAGGGGAGGCACTAGCAGGGGTTACTCTGAGCCAAGTGAAAGGCTGGCTGTCTTCTAGATACCCTAGAAAGGACAGTTGGGGTGAGGTAGAGAGAGATAGGTAGGAGGCTACGTGACCAGGCTCACAGAAATCCCAGAAATGCTGAGGCCTAACAAAACCAGAGATAAGGGAACAAACCAGACTAACCTGCCCTGGGCATCAGCGGTAGGGTCTTTTTATGGCAGTCACACTGTGACCAACCAAGAATAACCATACCCCATGGAAGAAGTGAGCCATTAAAGATGTTATCACCAGTCCTTACTCAGACCAAGCCATCCCAAAAATGATAAGGCCACAGGCTCCCCAGTTAGTTCTAAATAAGACTGTCGGTGGAGGCTCATGTTGGCAGCACTATTGGGACCCCTCTCACTCCTGAGAGCTTTTTCTGTACCCTTGCTTCATAAAACTCTATCACTTTACTCATTCTCTTTTGTCCTCGGGACTCATTCTTTGACTCTGTGAGACAAGAAACTCGCGCTCCCGCTTCACTCTGAGATCGGAGGTGTCAAGGCCTTCCCACCCTGTCCTCCTGTTGGATGGGGATGTGGCTCCCTACTCTCACCCAAACCCAACCACCAGCAGAACCCCACCTAAGACCTGGGGCACCAGAAGCTGTGCCTAAAGAGAGATGGGGACCTGGGGAGTGGGGGAGTGAAAGTCGAAGAGTCTGAGGAGATGTGTGGGGAGAAGAAGCTAGAACATCACCGGGGGAGAGGGTTCTCTCTGGAGTGCGTGGAGGGGGACAAGATCTCTTGGGGTTCCTGGACTGTGAGACTGATGGCCCTTGTGTGTGGGAGGCGCCAGCGAGAGAGCAGAGAGTGCATGCCCTGCCCTTACTTACTCCTTCAGGGTACACTGACTGGCTTCCAGCAGATGATTCTCTTTGCCCGAGGCCGAGGCTGGCCCAGAGAATAAACAGTCAGCATGCGGTGATTTACTGGACAACGCGCCCTTTATTCCCTTCCCACACTCACCTCCTCCCTGTGGTTCCTGGAATCACTGCCAAATAAACAGGCACTGGAATCCTAGTCTCGGATCAGAAGCCACTCCCCGGAATCTCCCCACTCATGGCAACTATGCCCCCGCCCCGGGCCCCAAGGAGAAGCTAATGCACCCCCGAACTCCAGATGGGTGTCAGGCTTGCCAAGACCTCTGGAAGGGTCTGTACCAACAGCTCCATCCATGATGGGATGCGGGGCTTACGGAGTCTCCCAGGCTCTACGGTGTCCTGCCTTGCCCTCAGTACTCTCTATTCCGATGGAGTCAGGTCTTCCTAGAGTTTTCTAGAGCTGGGAATGGGTTCGGGTTCTTACCCTCTCCTAGCATGGGCCAAACATACAGCGAGTGCTCAGGAGCCAGGTCCCATAGGATCAGCCAGGGCTCCGCAGCGTCCTCTTGTCCCTGGGCCCCTTCCCAGCCACCCCCCCCGACCCCAGAGCCTGGTACGATTGGAGGGGGTCCTAGCTAGAGGGATGCAGGGGGACTCGTCTGGGGGGAGTCCTCCAGGGACGTCTGTGAGTCTGTCCCCTCTGAGGAGAAGCTGCCCCCCGTGGGATGGGGGGTCTGACTCTGCCTGGGGAGTCGCTGCCAGGAGAAGAGGGGGGCCAGGAAGCCCTCAGGGGCAGGAAACGGAAATGGCTCATGGGGGCCTTTGCCTTCATCAGCCTCTGGGGCCTGACCAATGTCCTGCGGCAAAAGGCCTGCCTGCAAATTTCTGTTCTGCCCCTCTCTGGGGGCCTGAGGCCAACAGGAATTTGGCGAACTATCCAGGCCTAGTGAATCCTGGAGGGGCAGGCCTGGTCTTCCCCTGGAAGTAACATCTCCATTCAGACTCTGGCCCTTGGCAGCTGCCCTTCTGAGTCCCGGGTATGCTGAGGGGGGAGTGGGCCCTTCTGGGCATGGACAGTGGGCTAGTGCCTTCTTCAGGAGGGTCTGGATCTCCTCGTGTCTCACCCGGGCCTCTTCCCACAGGTCCTGGCCCAGGCCCTCCTGGCTCAGAGAGGCCACCTGCAGCTCCATGGCCGTGAGCTTCTCTGCAGGGAACTCAGACGCCAGTCGCTGCAGGTAGCGGAGGAGGCGGCGCTGGTCTCCAGGGCTGGCCCTTTGGGTCTTGCCCAGCCTGAGCTGTCTCATCAGGTCCTGACAGTCCATGTGAAACCAGGTCATCTGGGGGCGAGAAGAGGGGGATAAGGAGTTCAGACTACGAGTGGGACTGTGGGGCTCCATGAGGAAAGGGATGCGCCTCTCCAAGCAGAGAGTAAGTATTCCTGGGCTGAATTCCTAAGAAATGCCCAATCAGTGACCTGGCCTCCTCTGTGTGCCATGAGGGTCTCTGCCATCAGTGAAGGCAACGGTTTCCCTCTCTTCCCTGAGGTAAACACACCTGCGATCAGTAAAGGGTCCCTAGCACCCCTTGGATCCTCAGGCATGGTCTCACAGACCCAGAGGGCCAGCAAAGACTTAGCCCCTCGGGAGCTCAGTTATTCCTTCTCGAGAAGATGAGGTTGTACTAGATGATCATTCGGGTTCTTGGATTGTGGTAACAATTGTCTTCCCGCCTTATGAGTGACACGGAGAGAAGTGTCTAGTGGATGTTAATTGAGCACCGACTGTTCGCTGGGTTCTATGCATCTCAGGTAGGATCACACTGAACTGTACCAGTAGCCCATTTTACAGAGGAGGAAACCAAGGCTCAGAGACATGAAACCTCTTGCCCCAGGTCATGCTGCAAGTCAGTGGAGAGCTGGGATTTGAACTCAGAATGTGTCCAGCCTTAGACTCCGATGTGTCCAAGCACCTCCTTGCACGGGAGAGACTGGCCCAGGCAGGGTGGTGCCGGCGCAGTCACCATCAAGACGGCCAGCCAACCCGGGCCCGGGCTCCCCTCACTCTGCCCCATTTTAGGATGTGGCCCGTCCCTACTTCACCCACAAAATGTCTGCAGGCTGCAAAGGAGCCGACACATTCCCAGCAGCTTGTGAAAAACATAATCTTTCTCTCCATTAATTTAGGAGCCGACAGCGAGCTGTTAGCTGTGGGGATTGAGAACCGTTTTCTCCAAGGAAACCATCTTTCCACGGATTAAGGGAACTTGTCTTTAGATAAATGGCTTCATATTCGCGGAAGCACACGGAGCTCATGGCTGGGAAAGGGCTCCATAAATCTCTGTTAGCGGCACAATTGTTTCATTATTATTTAGTGCCAAAGCTGTGGTCCACGCGCTCTCGGCCTGGGGCTGAGTCCAGCCCCAGGGCTGTCCTGTCTGTCCGTCTGTCTGGGACCCCATGTTCTAGGCTGAGCCACACGGGGATGGGTAGCCCCCCGAGATCATCCTGTCCAACCCTGGATCGTGTGGATTAAGAGGAGCAGAGGCCTGCTGCCAGGTCAGTGAGATGGCCGGGGTGAGATTCCAGGGTTGAGGCCACCTCCTGTCTGACTTCCAGGCCTGGCAGGGGGTGGCCAGGGGTGGGGGGGATCTATCCTCCCACTTGCCTCCCCCCCCAGTCTTCCTTCCTCTGCCTCACTCCTCGCTCTTCCTGTAGCTACTTGGCCTCTGTGGGGGCCGACCCTGCACCTGGCACCAGGGATGCATGAGGACACAGTCCGGGGCTCACCTCCCCAGTCACAACAGGCAAGCAGGGGAGGAAGCCACAGGATAACTGCAGATGGTGAGGAGCACCGTGAAGTGAAAAAAGACAGGGTGACTGCAGGGATGGGGGGCCAGGCGGTCAGGGAAGGGCGGGGGCCAGGAGGGGACCTGCGAGCTGAGCCTGCAGAAAGCAAGGCAGCAGCCGGTCTTGAGGCAGATGGTTCCCCACGGAGGGAGCCGCAAGTGCAAAGGCGCAGAGCTGCAGCGAGATGGCTTTATGGGGCTGAAATCGGCTAAAATTAGTAAGCAAGGGAGAGAAGCTGCCAGATGCCCTTAACCCATGAGGCATTCCACGCTCCTACTGCTACTAATGATGATCATATTGGTGTCGATAATAATAACACCAAATTTGAGTAAAGCCCCAGGGGGTGAGGGTTTACTTACATTTCCTTTCATTCTCTCACTACCCAGCAAGGCTGGCACCAGAGCCAAGGGTTCTGGGTTTGAATCTCAGCTCTGCCGCTTTCCAGCTATGTGACCCTGGAGAGTTATTTGACCTCTCTGTGTTTCCTGGTGCATAAAATGGGCATAATAATAGCATCTGCCTCAGAGAGTTGGCGTGACAATGAAATGACCTGTGAAATGACGGACAGGGCCCACCACATAATAACTCCAAAAGCATTGGTTATGATTACTATGACGATCGCTGTTACTGATGAGGAGCTGAGGCCCAGAGCAGAGAAGACAGTCGCTGAGGTCACACGGCCTGTGCAGGCAGGAGCTGCCCCACTGGCTCTAAGCCCCAGACTCTGGCACCGCCTGGCTCTCTGCTGTCAGCTGGGAGTGGGGGTCCCTTCACTGCCACTGTCATATCCCTTGCCAGCTGCCCTGCAGAGACAGAGTGGCCTGTTCTTGCAGTGCCCCAGGCGGGACTTGACCAGAGTCCCTCCTGCTGCCCTCTGAAGCATCCGGTGTCATTGTCTGCTGTGTGCTGGACCAGCCTGACAGCTGGGAGGCTGGGGTCAGGCCCTTCCCACACTCTGTCCTCGGGGGCAAGTGCGAGGGGGCAAGTCTGAGGACCCTGGGCCTGGGCCAGAGCTGTGGGTTCTTGTCCCATCTGGGGTGCAGCTTTCTGGGGCTGTGCCTTGTCCTCCTAAGCCTCAGTTCCCCATCAGAAAAATGAGAGATGTGGCTAAATGGCTAAATGGTGGGGAGGGTCTTAAGTCAAATCCTGCTTGGCCACCAGTCCTCTGGGGAACCATGAGTGAGGCACTCTCCTCTTTAGGTACCCTTTCCTCGTAAAGATATGGTGAGATTAGGGGTGCCTAGATGGCTCAGTCAGTAGAGTGTGTGACCTGATCTCGGGGTTGTGAGTTTGAACCTCACATTGGGCATAGAGCCTACTTTAAAAAAAATAAATGGAAAAAAAAAAAAAGATGAGATCAAAACAAGCATGTGTCTGGCACGGAGTCCACAGTCACTAATGTGGGCTACTCTGATAATGATCGTACCATCATCATCACCATCATCATCACACCCAGTTGAACAGGGGAATCTGTTACCACCGGCCTTCTCACCGTTGGAGAAGAACACAGAGCATCACGAATGCATCTGTGTTTGGATTCCAGCTCTTTTCTGCAGCCTTGGGCAAGTGGCCTTAGTCAAGTCCCTTCCTTCTCCTCTCAGGGCCTCAGTCTGCTCATCTGTAAAATGGGACTGCTCAGCCTGGCGACACTGGATTGCCGAGAGATGATGGATGCCAAGCAATGGAGTTCCCCTTGCCTCCTACCCCAGCACTGCCCCACTCCCATCCACCTTCTACCTTCTCCTCCCCATTCCTAGCCAAACTCTGGGCTCCCGGCAAGGGCCGAGGCCTCAGCTCTGAGGGTGCTCAGAAAAACCCCTGGGCCCACCCTGCGCCGACGGTCCATCCCCTCTTTCCCAGCTCCTGCTGTCTGTGCCGGACAAGGTGGGGCATGGGAAAGAGCACTAGAATGGTGTCATGGGCTTGCTGTGTGACGCTGGCTGAGTGACAACCCTTCTTTGATCCTGTTTCCCCAGCCAAAGGAGTAGGGTAAGGTCAACATTCTTAAGGCGGGTCTGGCCACCAGAAGTTGTCAGCTGGGAGCTGACAGGTAGCAGACAGCTACCTGTGGAGACAAAGTCCACAGCTTTGATTGGATTCTCGGAAATACCTGGCCTCCTTTCCCCTAATCCCAACGTTTAAGAAGCAGATGATTTCTGAGTGTCCTTTGAGAGCTGGGAAGCCACCTGGGTTAGTGGGACAAGCTGGGGTCAGAGATCAGCCAGGACTGATTTAGGGGAGTAACCTATCCTCTCACACGTTGCTTCTCTTCTAGAAAATGCTAGGTAATGCTCTCCTGCCACCCCCCAGGACTACAGAATGAATCACACTAAGAACCCAGGGCTGCGTGCGGGTTCCCACGCTCCCTCCCGGCTGGGGTGGGCAGGAGCGGTCTGGGCAGGGGAGCCACGAGGCTCACCTTCCTGCAGAAGTGGTATAGGTGCAGCAGCGTCTCCAGGTCTGTGCGCTGCCGCTCGGCCGCCATGTAGAAGTGGGTCAGCTTCGCCTGGAAGGCCCGCCGGGTGGAGGCCAAGGCCGCCAGCTCCGGACACTCCGCTCCTCCGGCCTCTCTGGTGCCTTCGGCCGCAGCTCCCAGCTGAGCCGCCTGCTTGGACAGCTCCAGGCCACGGCGGTACTGGGCCTGGGCGGGACAGGGGGCGTCCACTCAGCTCCCATCTCGGCTGAGGCCTCCTCCAGAGGTCAGGAACCTCTGCTGCCCCGCCGCTGAATTGCGGGTCTGTAAGATGGGGGCCAGGCCTCTGCCTCAGCAGCTCACTTGCCTAGCTGGGACTCTGTTTAGTGTCACCTCCTTCTGGAAGACTTCCCTGACCCCGGGCCTGGGTTAGGGGCTCCTGTTGTGTGTCCCCTTTCTGTTTCCCTGTTTGTCTGCCCCCAGAGCTCCCTGAGGACTGAGAAGGGGCTGAGTCACCGTGTCCTAGGGTCCACTACATCAAGGGTACAAATTCCTTGCCCACGACCTCTAAGGCCGACCCCGGAATCTGTATTTTATGAAATCTGCCAGGGATTTGGAGATAGGTCTTTTTTGGATGTGGTGGTCCAGGAAGGATTCTTGGAGGAGACAGCATCTAAGCTGAACCCTCTGTGATCTAAGCTGGTCTTCTCTGTGTCTCTGGAAGTTTCTTCATACTCTCCTACCTCCACACCTTTGCCCCACAGGGCCCCCCTCCTCCACTGCCTTCTCCATTTGCTCTGGTCCTGTGTCTCAGTCTTAGGAACGCACCGCAGCCTGAAGGAAGAAGTCCTCAAACTCGGCGTGGGCCTTCTCTATAGTCTCCAAGCTTGTGTCTTTGGGGGTCAGCACTTGCAGGCACCGGCTCCCCTCCTGCTCCATCCAGCTGCTGACCTAGGGCAGGGGAGGGAGGTTTGGACATGGAGGGCGGGTGCCTGGGGGGACGTCCCTTAGCCAGTTCCCCAACTCCCTTGGCGGTGGGGATCTTCTTGTCCTCAGTTATTCAGTGGCTGGGCCTATGCCCATTGGCCTAGACTGAGGCCTTCCCAGTTCTGGGGAGGAGGGACAGTTTGGGGAGGGTGGGTGTATTGTCACGATTTTCAAATACCTGAAGGGGAGATGACTCCCGAGTGGAACCCCAGTACTACTGTGGTACCCTGGCCAATACCATGCACAAAGTAAGCCTTCTGGGCATGCTTGTCCAAATGAAGTCACGGGGAGGCGAATTTCAGCCTGTGATAACCACTTGGTGCCACCATTCATAAGAGGCAGCTTTTAGAGTAATGAGCTCCCCATCCCCAGGGGTATGCATACAGTGCCAGAGGAAAAGCTGCCTTCTGTAGAGTCGGGTGCACCAGTGCTGTGAAGTAAGGTGCAATGAACTCACTGTGTGAACTGGGCAAGTTATACTCCTCCTTCTGGGCTTCAGTTTACTCAGTGGCATAATGGGGTAGACATGAGGATTCAGCGAGGGATGGAGGGGATACAACGGCTCTTGAACCCATGAGCAGAAGTTCCCTTCTTATTCTGGGACTATGTATTCCCTTGCTTTACCCTCAAAAAGCCTGGTGTGGCAGGCACTACTATTATTCCCCATTGAATGGATGGGGAAACCGAGGCAGAGAACAGTTAAATAAACTGCCTAGGGTCAGAGTCAGTGCTGGAGCCAGGATCAGAGCCCACACTGGCTCTGTGATAAAGGGATGCACTAGTTCTAGGCGCCAGCAGTCAGAGTAGTGATGCCAGGTGTGGGCTCCAGGATCGCCAGGTGTGTGACCACAGGCAGGTGATGTAATGTCTCCCAGCCTCAGTGTCCTCATCGATGAGTGGGAGAAATCCTGGCATCTTCCCACATCACCGGTAAGTGATAAGGTTGGAAAATCATGGCAGACACAAAGGCTCCGGCCCAGGGCTTGGCAGGGTAAGTATGGCTTTTGGGGTTAGGTCTTCACTGGTTGGGCACTCATGCAGCGCCGTCATGTGCCATGTCACGGGACACCAGCCTTGGGTCCTTACACCAGAGGGAGTGCCTGGCTGGGGCAGGGCCCGGGGCTTCCCTGTGGAGAGGTCAGCCTCCCCTTTCACCTGGTGGATGGCAGCTTCCAGGCGGCCCAGTCGGATGCGGAGCTCCAGCCTCCCCAGGAGGTGGTTAGATGCAGTGACCAGGACATGCAGCTGCTCATCCACGAGGCCGTACCAGGTGACAGCTTCAGCCAGATGGCTCCTGGGAGGTGGAAGAGAGGGAAAGGGGGCCCAAAATCTTCCTCCCCACCAGTACTCCTGCCCAGCACAGGCCTGCCCCCTGCAACACCTACCAATTCTCTGGTTCCAGCCTGGGTATTCCAGCTGCTGCCTTGCTGTGTGACCTTGGGCAGGTCCCTATACCTCTCTGGACTCAGACCTGGCCTTCCACGGGACTGAGAAGACCAGAGCACACAGCAGGAAGCCAAATGACCCTCCCCTTCCCTGGGAGGGTATGAAGTGACCTGGACAGATCCGGGTTCAGATCTTAACACCTACCCTAAGCCAACTGAATCAGACTTTGAGTACGGCCTGGACATCAGTGCTTTCTAAAGCTTCTTAGATGGTTCCAGAGGGGCAGTAGGGCCTGAGAACCAGCCCTCACACATTCAGACCTCTTACCACAGGGCCCACCACACAGTGTTTGTTAGCACTTATCATTTCTATTGTAATGGTGGTGACTGGCCGGAACACGTCCTTCCAGCCTCGCTTCCATTTTACAGATGGGCAAACTGAGGTCCAGAGAGAAGAACTGACTGGTGCATGGCATTCCGAATTGAAACCTGGTCTGCGGCTTTTTTGCACAGTTTTTTAAAAGTCGGCAAAGCCAGTAAGACATAAGTGAAGAGGCACAGACTGGATTGGGGCATGGTAACACTCCAGGGAAGGAGGGACCTCAGGGCTCTTCCCAACACCCCTCAAATCCCACCCCACCCCTCTGCCCTCCGAGGTCTTACTCCAGAAGGAGATGGAAGGAAAGCTGCTACCCATGCTCTGGGCCTCCTCATCTGCCTGCAGCTGCCCACAGATCACTGCCCTTCCCGGGAGGGGTGAGGGCCCAGGGCCCGGATGGAAAATGCTAGCCTGCCTGGGGGCACAGAGGGCCGCAGGGGTGGGCGGGCAGAGCTGCAGGGACCCGGCGGCTCAGATGGGAGCACAGCGCCCCCTGGCGGAGCTGCTGGTGGCCAACGGTCTGCAGAGGCCTGGGGAGGCCGGAGGAGCCAGGCGGCCAGCCGCGGAGGCCGGTCACTCGGGGAAGGACAGTGCCAGCCCCGCCGGGCCCTGGGCCAGGCAGGGGGACGCGCCCAGCGCCAGCACCCACGTCAGCGTGAATCTGTCTGCAGCTGCAGCTCGGGGTGGCGTGTTCAAGAGTCTGGGCCAGGCTGCGTGGGTTGAAGTCCCGACCCCACCACACCCCCATGTGTGATCCTGGGAAAGTCACTCAGCCTCTCTCTGGGCCTCAGGCTCCTCCACAGTAAGATGAGGATAATGCTAGACTCCACCTAGTGGGAATGAAACAAGTTAATATTCGCAAAGCCCTCAGAATGAGGCTGCGCTCGCACTAAGTGCTATTAGGTGTTGGTTACACAAACTTATTCTCGGGTGCTTGGGTAAACTTTGTTTTGTTGTTTGTTCTAATGGAGATAAAATATCTCCAATTACTGGCTGATTTAATTACTGACTTGCACCCCCACCCCTATATTTAAGAAAACTGGTACTGGCCAAGAATATATATGTGTTTGTTTTGTGACACAGCATGGGGTTGTCTCGGGCAGGCTGAAGAGCCCACCAGGGAAGGCAGGGTCTGCAGGGGTTGCTGCTCAGATGTCCTGGCTGTCAGGGCATTTCTCAGAGCCCTGGTCACCCATCGGCCAAATGAGGACTATATGGCCCTCACAAGGTTCTTTTGAGGGATAAACAGATGGACCCTTGAAGGGACTCAGCCCAGTGTCTTAGAAAGTCAGAAAAAGTGCTTGAGGGTGGCCTGGAATGGGCAGGGGCCGTCCTCTGCCTCTTCTTCTACCTCGGGCTGAAGAAGGGACGGGGATCTTACCAATGCCTCTGCGCAGGAGACGGGCCCTGCAGATGCCCATCTTAGGCGTCCCAGCTCCAAGCCCTCAGGCCAGGGAACAAAGGTGGGGGAGGATAAGCCTGGGTGTTGGTACCTGACATCGGGGTTGAAGTCCAGCCGACCAGCTTCCTGCCGCAGCCTGGCCAGAGTGGCTCCCCCTTCCCGCTGGAGGCCCAGCAGGCCTGGGTCCCTCAGCACGGCCTCCATCAGCTCCTTGGACTTGCTCAGACACCTGGAGGCCTCCTGTCAGTGTAGGGAGGTGACCTGAGGCTCAGTCCCCACTCTCACTCTACACCCAGATCAGGCCAGACTGCCCCAGTAGTGGCATTCAAGGTCCTGCAGAAATCTGTCCTTTCTATCTGTAAAACGTCTCCTTGAGCCACTCTTCCTCTTGTCGCCATGGCAACCTCACTGGTCCAAGCGCCATCATCTCTCCGGGACACTCATCTCAGCCTCTTCACTGGTCTCCCTGCTGCTCTCTGGCCCCCCACCCCCTGCAGTCTGCTCCCCACACGGCAGCTGGACGGATCTCAAGATGCCAAGGTGTTCATCCCACTGCGTAAAAGTGGGCTTCCCTGCCAGCTAAGAGTCAAATCCCAGCCCAGCTCCTTGATACAGCCTCCACCGGATTAGAAGATCCTCCAGCTGTCCTCTTCGCCTAACCCACTCCCACCACTCAGCTCTACGTTGGCCTCCGTGCTACTCTCAAACATAGCAGAACAATTCCATCTCAACACCTTAGCACGGATTTGCCCTCCTATTCCATGGCTAGCTCCTTCTCATGCTCAGGTGGCAACTTAAATACCATCTCTTTAGGGAGGCCTTCCCTCTTTCCTTATTGTTCTTGATCTTTCATGACATTTGGCCCAATTTATAACTACATACCCATTTTTCATTTACTTTTTTAATGACTGCCTCTGCCACTGTACCACTAACCACTCCAAGGGCAGGGATGAGTCGGCTTGCCCAGGCTGGGTCTCCAGGGCCTGACACATAGTGAGTGTCCAATAAACATTAGTCCAGTGAATGGATGAAAAATGGGATGATGATGCTCACTGTGCCAGTCCCCTTCACTGAGCCCTTGCTCCATGGAATCTGGGGTGTAGTGGGGCTTCCCCACCCCATGCACCTGGCTCACCTGCACCCCTCCAGGGGGGTGACTCTTCTCAAACTGCTTGATGGAAGTCTTTAGCAAGGAGGAGGCCTGGCGGAGGTCAGCTAGGAAAGGGTCCAACTTCTGCAGGATGAGAGGCCAGAGTGGGGGTGTTAGCCTGGACCAGTGAGGACGGCACCTGGCCCCCTCCAGGAGGACATAGGGTGGGTGTCGGACAGTGGTTCTCAAACGTTAGCTGCATCAGAATCACCTGGAGGGCTGGTTAAACTCCAGACTGCTGAGCTCCACTCCTGAGTTCCTGATTTAATTTTGGGGGGGTGGGGCCTGAGAGCATGCATCTCTAACAAGTTCCCAGGTGGTGCTGATGCTGCTGGTCCAGAGACCACACTCTGAGAACCACTGGCGCTGGGAATGAGAGAGGGAGAGAAAAGAAGACCCAAGGAATCCCCTTGGGGAAGAGGAAGGAGCAGGTGTGGGAGGGCAGAGCTAGGAGACATCCTCTGTTGGGTCCCACTCCAACCCAACTCCACCATTGACTGGCTGTGAGACCTTGAGCAAGTTGCCTAGCCTCTCTGTGCCTCTGTTTCCTCCTCTGTAAAATGGGATGGCAGTAGTTCCTACCTTACAGGCTTGTGTGAGGATGAAATGGGTTCATGTGTGTGAGGCACTAAGTGTATTAGCCATCATCATCATTAGTTTTATATTCTGTGGGTTAGATTCTGTTTCAAGGGGTGGTTTTAAAGTGAAAATACAGGGATCCCTGGGTGGCGCAGCGGTTTGGCGCCTGCCTTTGGCCCAGGGCGCGATCCTGGAGACCCGAGATCGAGTCCCACGTCGGGCTCCCGGTGCATGGAGCCTGCTTCTCCCTCTGCCTGTGTCTCTGCCTCTCTCTCTCTCTCTCTGTGACTATCATAAATAAATAAAAAATAAAAAATAAATTAAAAAATTAAAAAAAAAAGTGAAAATACAGCTCAAAGGCCACTGGATTCATCAGAGGGGAACGGGGGATGAACAGGAAGGCAGATTGCTCAATATATACCCTTTAGTAGCATTTGAATTTTTAATGTACCGCCTGTTCAAAAACAGGCACATGTTCAACAAGAGAGTGCCTGGGCCCCAAACAAATAAATCAACCACCACATCAGACCGTTAGTGTAGACCAGTGATTCTCACTGGGGGTGATTTCATCCCCCAGGGGACATTAGGCAAAGTCTGGAGATGATTTTGGTTGTCCTAATTTGTGAGGCACTCCTGCCAGAGTGCATGTAGTAGCCGGAGACGGTGCTAATCATGCTACAATGCACAAGATAGCAACTCCCTACCCCCCTCTAAAAAAAAGAATTACCAGTCCCAAACATGGACAGTGCCAAGGGTGAGCAGCCCTGCTCTAGGGAAAGTCCAGGGTGGCATTTATGAGCACTGGTTTCTGTGCAATTTGAGCCTGGAATCTTCTGTGTGCTGTTGTGCTAGGGCCCCTCCCTGTCCTCTGTGTCCTCATGTGTTAAACTGGGCATGAAATGCCCCCTCCGGGGTCGTGCCGAGGAGAAGCTGAGATCACTCGGGGAGGGAGCCCAGCCCTGGCCCTGGCGGTTTCCTGATCCCTTCCCTCTCTCGGGAGGAAACGAGTCTGCCTCCCCGACCAGCCCCTGTGTTCTCTGAGCTGTGTGGGTCCACAGAACAAATGTCTGTCCATTTATTTTCGGTTAACATCAACACAGCTCTTTGCATGCGCCAGCCACTCTTCTAAGCTCTTCGCCCACGTTAACTCAATTAATCCTCACCACGGCCCCCTCGGGAAGTGCTATCATTACCCCTTCTGTTTTGTACACAAGGTAAAGGGCTCAGAGAAGATAGATAACTTACCCAAGGTCACACAGCAGAGCTGGGATTGGAACCCAGGCTGTCTGGGCCTGGAGCCTGAGCCCTTCATAACTGTACTCTGCACCCTCATCACAAATGTTTGTTGAATGTCTGTTGTGGAACATGACAGGGTCACTGGATTCCTGAGGCAGGACAGTGAAGGGAGGAAGAGGAGGAGGCAGGGTGGGGGGTGGAGGCTGTGAAGCAGGCACCTGGAAAAACTGCACCCATTCGCCGTGGCAGTAGGGGAAGGGGCCCTCCAGGGCTGGGGGCAGCTGGCTGGGGTCCACGTGGTGGCCGAGAGCCTTCAGGGAGGTCACCGCCTCTACCTGCAGATGAAAGAAGCTTGTCAAGGGGACCAGGGGACTTGGGTGTGGGGACATGTTTGAGAAGGGTCTGCAAGATCCCCGCCCCAACACCACTCCACCCGCCACAGGTAGAGCTGGCCTTGGCTTTCTGGGCCAAGGATCTTCTCTGACAAATCAAAATTCAGAATGAGACCCTGGCTAAGGAATGGCAAGTAACAGTGGTCATACTGCCCCTCTCTTATCCTGTGCCCAAGGCAGACATCACTAATCAATCACAGCACGGGCTCCCTCTAAGCCAGCCTCTTGCCCAGCACAGCTCTCCCGGCAATCGCACAAGCTCATTGAAGCTGACCCTTCTCATGTAACTTCTCTGTAATCTTTGAACTGTCCTCTGATGACCCACCAAGGTGCTGTGCCTTTTTGGGGCGGATGAAAAAGGTCACCAAATCTTGACAGTATCTTCTAAGACATGGAGGAGGGATGAGGCAGCTGCCTCTCCTGAGCGGGGAAGTTGGAAGCTTATGCCAGGCCCGGCTCCAGAGACCTAAGCTTGGGATTGGGTGGATTCTATTTTTTCTTTTTTTTGGACTCTTCTCTTCTCCTTGGTACTCAAAGTGTGGTCCAGAGACCAGCAGCAGCAGCAGCACCTAGGAGCTTCCTAGAGATGCAGAATCATGGGCCCCATCCAGAACTACTTCATCAGAACCTGCACATTGACAAGGTCCCCAAGGGATTCACTGGCACATAAAAGCACCTCGCTGCTGGCTCACGACATGCCTCTTTACCAGCGAGGAGGAGGGAAGAGGAAGGAGGCCTTTAAAATCATTTCCTGAAGCAGGGCAGAGGGCAGGGTGTCCACGCTCAGGATTGTAATACATGGCACTAATTAAAGAAAACAGCAGGGCTTTTTCCTACAAAGCCCCAAATCATCTCAGTATCTGAGCTGGAGATACTGAGACACGAGGGAGGGGAATGCAGGAAGACAGAGGCCACAGTATGCCTCTAGCTTGCCATGTGGCCATGGGCCTGTTTCCCCTTCTGAAAAGAGGGAGGGAGTGGTCAGGGGGTTGAAGGTTTTTTATTTTTTTTATTTTTTTATTTTTTAATTTTTTGAAGGGTTTTTAAAAAAAGATTTTGTTATTTTTATTATTTATTATTTATGAGCACGAGCAGAGGGAGGAGAAGTAGACTCCCCGCTGAGCAGGGAGCCTGACACGGGGCTTGATCCTGGGACCCTGGGACCATGACCTGAGCCAAAGGCAGATGCCCAACCACCCAAGCCACCCAGGTGCCCTGAGATGAAATAGGTTTCATGCCACCGCAACTACAGTCATGTGGCAGTGTCCCCACAGGAGGTGCTGGGTTTGCCAGAGAGAGTGAACTGTATGATTTGGGAACACCTGCCACAGAGGGCAGGCCACGGGGTTGTAGCATCCCACCTTGAACTTGTTGACCTCTACTAGGTTGTTTCACGGTGACCCCTAGCAGGTGAATCTGCACCCCTGCTCAGCTCAGCCTCTCCCTCACCTGGATGCCAGGTAACGTCTCCAGCTGGAGAGCAGCCTCCTTCTCCCCCAGGTAGAGCACAGCACGGATGGAGGCTGGGGCCAGAGCCTGCCAGAGAGAACCATTTCAGAGAGGCTCTGCCTAGACCTTCACCAAGCCCCCCTGCTAAGATTCGGGCAAACAGAGAAGTGGGGCACTGCTGGAACATGTATGTGGCATGTTTGGAGGGTGAGTCATTGGGAGTCAATAGAGCAGCAGGTCCAAGCCATGTTACAAACTTCCTGTCCCTTCTGGGCCTCAGTTTCCCCATCTATAAAGTGAGGAGGAGGAGAAGAGATCGGACCATTAGGTAAGCATATGCCAACCTTCCACTTCCTCTGCTCCCTAAACCAGCTACTTAGGAACCTCTGCTTTCCTCTGGCATTCTGGGCTCACGAGGCTCATGGCACCCAAGTCTAAGCCGATCAGTGTGTCGCATTCCTCTGGCCACAGAGATTGGCTGGTGGATGGACACCTGAGCTTAAGAGACAGAAGGAAACTTGCTGGGACCTCTGGGAAGGCAACCTCTCACTCTTTCTTACTGGATTTAAACGAAAGACCATGAAAAATGACAGCTGTGGGGAACCTGGCTGAGAATAGCACCCTCCTAGGAGAACCCAGCCAGGCGTGGAGAGACAGGAACCAGGTCTCAGTGACAATATTCAAGCCCCTGCATCCAGCCGTACTTGCAGTTGGATTTAATTTCTGATTGTCAAGTCAATGAACCAATGGACGCCCTCCATCTTCAGGCCTGTCTGCGCTGGGATTTCTGTACCTATAACTAAGAGCACCTGCCTGGGGCTCCTGGGCCCAGCTCTGAGCCCCCTGGGCTCCATGAATGTCATAAGTCCCCTGGAGCTCTCAAGACTTGCTAGGCTGAGGCTGTCCACCTCCTACTCACCTGGGTGGACTGCAGGGCACTGACCAGACCAGGGTGTGGGGGCTGTTTCCTGGCATCGATCACAACCGCCAGCCCCTTGGTTTTATCTTCAGGCCTGTGGGTGGCAGACAGAGTTGGCAGTCTTGCTGGATGGGCTGGGCTTTCTAGAGGGAAGGACCTAGTGGAAGGGGAGGGAAACTGGCTTCCAGAAGCCTTGATTTATCGGTGAGCTCTTCATCCTACAAGACCAACTGCCAATGCCCACCCCACTCCAGGAAGCCCTCCATGATCCCCCTGCAGGTGGAGTCCATCGCTTTTCTCTTTGGTGTCCCCACAGGACCTCACACAGCCCTCTGTCACATCTTATAAGCCACTGTCCCAGCCGTGGTAGGTGAGCCACCCAGCATTCAACCCATCCCTTCCATGTGGCCAGAAGCCTCATTTTGTTCAAGAATCCATAGCCCTCCAAACAACAGCACCCCCACTCCCCCCACCCCCGCACCGGGGGGCTGGTTTATGATTGGTTGAGGTCATCACTGATGAGCTAATTCCTCTGGCCAATGATTGTTTTAAGTAGGGGTCATATGACATATGACCTCTGTCCAATGGGAAGTGAGGGGACTTCTCGGAAAGACAGGCTCTCCTTTAGGAGATTCTTCCTAAGAGCTGGAAAGTGGAGACCAAGAGAGAAATTTCCGTATTAGTTGAGACCTCTTGAATGGACTTTGTTATTTGCAGCCGGAACACCCTCACTGGTTCACGCTGTACTTTTCAGTAATTACCTTAGGATTTCCCAAACGGGCCTAATTGTCTGGACTTGTTAAAATAATCGACTCCTCACCCCCAGCCCTGCCCCATCCCCCCAGACATCTGGCAGCAGGTGCAGGGTGAGGGAGGGGGGTCTGTCTGGTTCCAAGTGCCCTTGGCCATCCTGATGATCAGGCAAGTTGGGAAAATACCTGCCCACCCCCCACCCCCCACCCCAGGCCTCATAGATAAAAGCAGAGGTGGCCAGTGTGGATGGAGGTGGAGTTGCGACGCTGCCATAGTATCTGGTCACCTGGGCATGTTGTTTCATCTTGTTGAGAGTCGATTTCCCCATCTGTAAATGGGGGCAATAATAGTGCTGGCCCCGTGGGGCTGTGGTGAGGACTGATGAGTTCATTAGTGGAAGGCACTCAGTACCTGCACAGAGTAAGAGGAATATAAATGTCTGCTACTGTCACTGCCCGAGAAGGGGAAACTGAGGCACAGAGCAGTGACATGGCAGACAGTGAGGAGAGGCCCTTGGAAGGGAGGCCATACCTCTGACGTCATGACCTGCACCTCGCCTGCCTCTAGCCGATCAAGCTGGGAGCACGGTTGGCTTCCACACCTGCCTTGCTATCAGCCTGGAGGCCCCTGGAGGGCAGAGCCTGATGTGAGGAGCATCTGAGGAGCATGTGAGGAGGGGCTGGGTCTCTAGCATGCCCAGTGTGAAGCTGGGTCTAGTACTCCAGTTTACAGTGGTCATCAGAGTCCATTTGCTTATCCCTTTTTTTCAAGTGAGACTCAGAGAAGGGAGGTTACCGCCTCCAGGTCACACAACAAGTTGGTGGGATTCCAGACTCTACCATGCTGGCCAACATCTCAGCACAGGAAAAGAGGTCCCATCTCCCCCAGAAAAGCCATACTACCTTGGAGAAGAGGAAGAAAAATCTCAATGGCCAGCAGATGGCAGTGATGGCCTCCATGGGGTAGAGCAGGTGGGGAAGGTTCCAAAGGGTTCCATCAGTCCCTCCACACCCTACTCCTAGCCACATAGCCTCTAGGTTGGGTTGGGGTATATACCCACAGTCCTGAGCAAACACCACGTCTGAGACCCTCCCAGCTGGGGGCCAGACCTCTGAGGAAGGGATGGTGCCTTTCCCCAGCCAGTCCAACATGAAGTCACTCAGGTGGAGGAGTGGACGTGTTACAAATTAGCCTGGATCACCCATTACTCACACACTAATTCTTTCACTCTCTTATTCATTCATTCATTCGTTCATTCATTCATTCATTCACTCATTCGTCCTCATTTGCCCAACAAATATTTATAATTCAGATGCCAGCTCAATGATCATCTCCTCGGGATGCCTTCCCTGATTTCCCAGTTGAAGTTAGCCCCCCACCCTTCCCACTCTACTACAGTGGTATTCAAAACGTGTCCCTAGCCCAGCAGCATCAGGATCACCAGGACGTTTGTGAGAAATGTAGATTCTTAGGCTCGAGATCTGAATGACAAACTTGGGGTGGGGCCCAGTGATCTGCTTTAACAGCTCTCCAGGTGATTCTGATGTATGCTTGAGTTTGTGAACCACTGATCTACATCATCCCGTTTTCTTTACCTCACTGATACTCCTGAGAGGGGCTTGTTCATACTTTGTTTCTTACACATCATCCATCTCCTCCCTGTCGCCCCCCCCCAAACTGGGAACCCCATGATGGCAGGGACGAAGTCTGTCCTGGTTCCCCGCCGCCCCCTCAGCATCTGGCTTACGACTGGCTCTGGGAACAGATGCCTGGGTGGAAGGACATGTCTCCATTCAGTGCCTGGTCCTGGCTCTGGGCCATGAAGTCAGAGGGGGATAGGGTGGCCAGCTGGCCCAGCGCCTTACCTGGGGACTGAGCACAGGTAGGAGAGCAGCTTGGTGACCTCTGAGGCTGTGCACCATGGTGCCTCCCAGGCCCCCTGGGTGGTTGACACCAGAAGCAGGGGCCTCCCTGCCCTGTCCCGACCACCTGGAGGAGAGAGGACACACGTGAGCGGTGAGAACTTTGGTGGAGCCCCCTCTCTCTTTGGGAACCTGCTCTGTGGCCTATAGGTCCCTCCACCTGGGGTGTCCCTTCCTCCTCCCCCGTGAGCTCTGAACTCAGCCTTCAAGACCCAGCTCAAAAACCACTTCCTCAGAAAGCCATCCCTGTATCCATCCTCCATGCAGAGAGACCCTCATTCCTGCATAGGACTGGACCCCCCTCTGCACAGGGCACTCTGGGAGGCACAGCTCAGGGAACAGACTTTGGAGTCACACTGATGGGTTCAAGTGGCAGCTCTGCACTGACGCACTGCGTGTCCTGGCGCTAGTCAGTGTGCCTCTGAGCCTGTGTCCTCCTCTGTCACACGGGGAGAAAAAAATATGGAGCTTACTCCCTAATTTCGAGGACTAAAGGAGAAGGTCCTGAGAAATACTCTGAGCCTCGGGCTCAGTGACAGCAGTTATTATACACATCTCTGTCGTCTATGCCCCCGGCCCACGGCTCCAGCTCTCTATTCTTGCAGATTTTTACCCATTGGTTCTCTCCAGACTGTTTCCTGTCCCCGGAATCAGGGCTGTGTGGCCCACTGCCCCCATAGGGATTAAGAGGCCCATGAGTAAACAAAAAAAAAAAAAAAAAAGAGGCCCATGAGTGGCAAGGTGAAAGGGAAGAGGGGGAAGGAGGCTCAGGCTTCTGGAAACTGGGCCTGCCTCGCACCTTGAACTCAGAGCCCGGCCCTCCAGAGTCATCTATTGCAGAACCATCCAATGGCTGCTGCCTACTCCATGTGGGCATGACCCTCTAAGTGTGTGAGTGTTATGAGACCCTTTATGGCTCACGAAGCCTGGGAGACAAACTCAATTGCCTTCACAAGCACTGTCTTACACAGGGGTGTAGACTGCTGGAACATTTCTTTCTTTCACACGTCTGCAAATTTGACATGACTTTAAAATTTTATTTTTTTTAATTTAAAAAATTTAAAAGATATCCATCTGTGTGTGTGTGTGTGTGTGTGTCTAACTTTATAGCCTCTTGATATTATGAGTTTGATTTTTTTTCCCCTAATACTCCCTTATAAATTTGAAAAACATTTTGTTGGGGACATTGCAGGAAATTTGAATATGAACTGGCTGTTGAATAGTAATAGAAATTATATTTAGTTTCATTAGATGTGCTAATGGTGTTGCAATTATTAGGGGAAATATCCTTAGGGCTGAGAGAGGCATGCTGAAGTATTTAGAGGCAAAATATGAAGATCTTTCATTTATGCCCAAGTGTGAAGCTTTATTAAATCTGAGTGATCGTATGGGGGTGTTCATTATACTACAGTTTCTACTTTTTTGTGTGTTTGACATGTTTTATAAGAGAAGATCAAAAAATGTGAAATGATTAAAGCATGGGGAAATGACATAACCTGCAAAGTCAGAGATGTCTGTCCATGTCCCTCTGAAATCCTCTGGCAGCCACTGGGGCTGTCAGGTTGAGAAATGCTGCATCACGCCCCTGGGCCCATTTTATTGATAAGGAAACTGAGGCCTGGGGAGGGGAACTGGCTTCCCAGTCTCCTACAGAGCCAGGTCCCTAACCTGCCAGCGAGGGAGGGGGTCATGCTTGATCTGGCCCTTGACCACACAGACAGATGAGCACTCATCTCTGTAGACCAGCGACTAGAGTTCAGTAGCGGCTCCCAGGGTGCTACTGCCCTACTCTAAGCCCTTCGTGGCTCCCCATGGCCATCAAGAAAAAGTGCAAGCTTCTCAACTCGGCACTTAAGGCTCTCCAGGGTCTGCACACTCTTCTGGGCCCATTTCATTCACTCTGTGTTATGAGCTGCATCATGCCCGCCACATGCCTCCCCACACCTTCCTATGTTAAAGTCCTAATCCCTAGGACCTCAGAATGTAACTGTATGTAGAGATAGGGTCTTTAAAGAGGTGATTCAGTTAAAATGAGGCCATTGGAGTGGGCCCTAATCCAATAGGACTTGTGGCCCTATGAAAAGAGGAAATGTGGACACAGACACCCATACAGAAGAGCACATGAAGATGTAAGAAGATGGCCCTCTACAAGCCAGGGAGAGAGATCTCGGGGGAAAGCGGTCCACATGACACCTTCATCTCAGTTGTCCAGCTTTCAGAACTGTGAGAAATAAATTCCTATTGCTTAAGCTCCCCACCAAGTCTGTGGCACTTTGTTATGATAGCCCTAGCAACTAATACACTGTGTCACCCCTTGTCACCTATGGCCCAGCCAGAATGGGTCAACTGTCATTGCCTAAAGTAGTCTGATCCTTTCTCATGTCCCCACATTTCTGTGCTATTTCTTCTCTCCTCCTATCACTGTCTGGTGAAACCCTCTTCATCTTTCCAAGCCCTGTTTAGACGCCACCTTCTCCAGGAAGACCTCCTCCCTGCCCTTCTATAGAAGCCCCTCTTTGAACCCAGCCTCCTTTAGCAAATGTAGGCTGGGTTTATTAGGTCCCACAAGACTGAGGGCTCCAGTGTACACTGGCTCAAACTCATCATATCCCAGCACTCAGCACAGAATTGAAACAGATAATCAATGTCTGTGACTGATGAATGTGTAGATTATGAGCATTGTGCCTCTCAGACTTCCATGCGCCTGAGGATCATGCTAGAATGCAGATTCTGATTCTGATCAGGTCTGAGAGTCTGCGTCTCTCCCTAGCTCCAATGTGATACCCGTATAGTTGGTCCCCAGACCACACTTTGAGTAGCAGAGGGTTCCACACTGGGACTCAGCTATCAGCTCATGTGTCTGGTTCCCCAACAAGCACTGCCTGGAATTGGGTTTGCCCACCAGAGCTAGCTGGGCACGCAGATGCTGGCTGCATCCACTGGAGTGATGGGCAGTTGTCCACCTGATGTGCCTTCAGCTCCAAGGCCCTTCTGCCCCAGATGCCTCCCTTGTCTGACCGCTGGAGCCACCAATACCGTTAGTGCCTCGGAGCCCTGGCTCAGAGCTGCGCTGTTCACACTGGGTTCTGAGTCTCAGGTGGAAATAGGGACTGCAAGTTGGGGGAGGGGGGCGTACCAAAAGTCACCAAAAAACTGTTGCACCTTTCTGCAGCATTGTTCTCTCCCAGTCTGGGGGGGAAATGGTGAGTGATTTAACTGGCAAGCAATCGAGAGCATTTTTTAATATCAAAGCAAATATGAATGTATTCTTAAGTAGAACACAAAACGAATAGAAATTTTAAAGACAAAAACGATTTCAAAGATACGTGTAATGCAACTGAGAGCTTGGGGTGAAGTCTCAACCCCTATGACCTTGTTTACTTTTTTCTGTATTCCAGGTTTCTCCATGCGAAGCCTGAGAAGCCCTCTCCAAAGGCTGGGTGCCTGTGGTAGTGGAGTGGTTGCAAAGATGCCCACATCCTAATCGAGAGCCCTATATGCCAGGTTACCCGGCAAAGGGACTTTGCAGATGTGATTAAAGCAGGACCTCCAGTTGGAAGATTAGCCTGGATTATGCAAGTGGTCTAATCTAACCTAATCATGTGATTCTTAAAACCAAACACCTTTCCTGGCTTCAGGCAGTCAAGAGAAAGTGTGAAAACAGATGGGCAATATGCCAGCATGTCTTATGCTGGTGGGAATGGTCCGAGAGAGGAGAATCTTGCGGCAGGGACATCTCTGAGTAGGTGAGCAGGAGCAGAGCTGGGAAGAAGTGAGGACATGATGATGGTGGAGAGGGAGGTTGAGAAGGTAGTTGGACCAATAGGTTGAGGGTCTGTGGGACTAGAAGATTATTAAAATTGGGCCGGTGGGTGAGCCAGAAAGAGGGGCAGTGTACTGTAATTCTGGGGGTGGCATGGTGTGAGGAGCCGGTGGGAATGATCACCAAAGGACAGGATCACCAAAGACAAGGAGATGAAGGGAGGGAATGGAAGGAGCACCTACATGGGGAATATTCATTCACTCAAAAAATTCTTTTTGAGGGATCCCTGGGTGGCGCAGCGGTTTAGCGCCTGCCTTTCGCCCAGGGCACGATCCTGGAGACCCAGGATCGAATCCCACATCGGGCCCCCGGTGCATGGAGCCTGCTACTCCCTCTGCCTGTGTCTCTGCCTCTCTCTCTCTCTGTGTGTGACTATCATAAATAAATAAAAATTAAAAAAAATTCTTTTTGAGCACCAGACACTGCTCCAGGCACCTGGGACCCATTAATGTGTGTTGCAAGTCCAAAAATTACAAGTCATTGTGGAAAGTGACAGTGAGCCAAGTCCTATCTGCTTCTACTCCTCTTACATAAGGAGGAGCCTGAGGCTCAGAGAGGGCAAATGATTCTTCTGAGATCACACAGGAAGCTGATAAAAATGGTCTCCTGCCTCCTAGAACAGGGCCCTTTGATGGATTAAAATCTGAGCGCTTGGAACACGACAGCCCTAAAAGGACTGTGAGACCCTTTGTGTACAATTAATATGGGCAAACACAGCAGGAGTTTCAACAAAGATGACCAAGGAGAGGACAGGCAGTGCCTCCTAGGAGCTTCAAAAAGACAGAGCAGTGTCCAGGACCCTGCGGAGATGTCAAAGTCTACGAAGTAAAATAGAACTTCAAGACAGTAGGTCACAGGAAGCGCTGTGGTCTCTCTTGCCCCTAGACATTTGCACATCCTGTTCCCTCTGTCCCGAACACTGTTCCCACCCCTTCACCTGGATAACACCTGGTCATGCTCTAGGACTGAGCTTCATATTGCTTCTTCCTTCCTCCCTGACCTCTCCTTCACCCCACGCCTGAGCCAGGGTGCTCCTGGGTCCTCCCACAGCCCCCTGTACTGCTCCACAGCTGCAGTTTGTTTACACAAACAATAACCTGTTGCGTTTTCTCTACCATGAGGATAGAGACCTCTTGAGAGCAGAGCACACATCAGACTTGTTCCCCACTGAATCCGCAGTGCTAAGCTCAGGGCCTGGCTGGGCACAGCAGGTATTAAAGAAATATTTATTGCAAAGATGAATAAATATTCAACAGAAGTGATAGCACCTTCTCTATCGGATGCTGGTAACACCCCACTCAGATCCCCTCGTCATCAGAATACCCATTGCCCCCTGTTTTCTGTTGGCTGTATCGGCTCACAAACGTCCCCACCTCTGGGAAATTGCCCTCAGTGGAAGTGGATCACGGACTCACCCTGCATCGCCATCTCAGGCTCAGCCTGGGTGGATGACCAACAGACCCAAGCATACGAAAGACCAGTCCCCTACGCCTTAAAATGGAACCAGCTCTGTCGTGTAATTCATACTCCAGAGCTTCTCGTGGGGTCAGGCCACATCCTTGCTTAGCTCCTCCCCTGCCCTGTCCTGCCTCCTTCACTCCCTTTCTCCTGAGAGCAACCCTCAACAAATCACTTTCCCAAAGATCCCTGTCTTAGGCCCTGCTTCTAGGGAGCTGACCTAACGCAACCACCCTGGTTGCGCCACTGAAAGTAGGATGAATGGATGGATGGATGGATGGATGGATGGATAGATGGATATCTAGAAACTGCTTTCATATAATCAAACTCCTTCAGTGGAAAGATGAAGAGTCTGAGTCCAGGGAGGCTTGGTCCAGAACACAAGCCTCTAGGACCTTCCCTGCCTTCTCCATACCCACCAGCATCAAGGATGCTCAGAGACCCGCTCCCCACTCTGGCCTCCACCCCAACACCCTCCACTCCCCCTCCAGCTGCCCCGTGATCCCCGAGGACCTGGCAGGCATGCTATCCTTGACTGGAAGAGCTCCGCACTCAGAGCCCCAATCCTGGGCTCCAGCCCTGGGGACTCCTCGTCCAGACTGGGGCCTCTTTCTGGAGGGCCTTCTGGGAAGCCAGCCTTTTCCCCAGTCAGTGGGCCTGAGTCAGCGGCTGGGCCAGATGTTTTGGTCTGAGTTGTTCCAGCTGGGGAAGAGCAACAAAGAAAAGGGTATTAAGCAGAATATGGGTTTCCCCACAAGAAATGTCTTCTCTTGCACCTTCTGATTGCTAATAACAGCTTATTGATCTCTTACCATGTGGCGGATGTTATGCTAAGCTCCTTTCTATTTTTTTTTAAGTTTATTTGTTTATTTAGTCATCTCCACACCCAACGTTGGGCTCAAAATCACGACCCGGAGATCAAGAGTTGCATGCTCTACCCACTGAGCCAGCCAGGTGCCCCTAAGCTCCTTACTTCTGGTGTGTCTTTGTGTCTTTGAACCTCAAAGGTTCAAAGGTTTGAGGCAGGTAAGACCCACACTGCATGGAGGAGAACTTGACTAAAGGTCAGCTAGCTGGTGTGGGGCCGAGCTCGGTGTGGACTCAGGCCAGCTCAATACAGCTCAGCTCCAGATCCATGAGATGTCAAGCTTTTTGACCTGTCGCCTGTGCACTAAATCCCTGATACATCCCTGAGTGAGCAGGCACCTTACCTTTCCCCAAGCACTTGGCTCGGTTGGGTTTGGGAGAGTAGAGCGAACACAAGACTTTCCAGGGCCCGTCGTGCTGGGGTGAGGCTTTCTCGGGGGGTTGGGGGGCTTGCCTTTGCCCTTTCAAGAAAGAGAATCTGGGCCCAGGAGTGGGGGGTCTGGAAGAGGAGGTATGCTGACTGGGATCAGTCCCAGGTTTGAGAAGACTCCCATATCCCTGTTTGGCTCTCTCTTCCACCTTGGTTCCAGGGGCCGGAGCAGCAGGAGGGGAAGCTGGGCACAGGTGCAGGGAGGATGCTTGTTTTGGTTCAAGCCTGGGCTGGACCATATTTTCTGGGTTTCCTAGAGGTCCCTGCATCCTGGAGGAAGCTGACTCATCTGAACCACCTGTCTCAAGGCCAGAAGCACAGGGCAGTGGTTTCTCAAGGATGCTGAGGTACGGCTCTGGGGGCTGGTGTTCGGAGTCGTGAGTGGGTGAGTCAACTTTATGATTGACCTTTCTCCTGAAGCCCAAAAGGCAAGGCTCATCTTCTGAGTTTGCTGGCTTCTCACAAGCCCATTTTTTCAAGGAAGGTCCCCCATTTGTACCTGAGAGAGGTGGCATTCTTTGAGAGAAAGGGATTTCCTTAGTTTTGGATTGTTCCTCCAGGGTCCCCAAAGGATACCCACTGGATGTCTCCACTTCCCTACTGGGAGACCCTCCTCTGCTCTCCAGGAGGGCGACATAGTCTCCTTCCAAGTCCTGGATGGCCACATCGTCCATCCTATAGGGCACCTTTGCAGACCTGGCTTGCTCCACCTTGATGAGTCCTGGGTATTTGTTTCCATATGTCCTGCCCTTACCCTTGGCCAAGCTCTGGGTAAGCAGCAGCTGGCTGCCTGGGGACCGGGGCTGGGGCAGCTCCGGGGGGCGGCTCAAATCAAGTGCCTCTAATTGAAGGGAACTCCAGGCCAGGGAGAGGACATTCACTGCTTGGGGTCTGTCATCCACAAACTCTGGGCTGGTTATCTTGGTCCAGGGCACAGGGGCAATCCCATCTTCTGAGGCTACCAGGCAGTTGTGTAGGGGACTTCCCTCAAAGTCACTGTTGATGGCCTCCAGCCACGTTGAGGTGAAAAGTATCGGGTAGGATGACTCGGGAACAGGCTTTGTGTCCACTGTGCGGAGGTCCAAGGAGAGGCACTTGAACATGATGCAGGCCGACTGCTCCTCCTGGGGTTCGACTTGGAGGTAGAAGTCTCCCTGGCGCAATAGGAGGGGATTGAGGGGAGCCAGGTGCACCACGACCTCACCCCGAAGGCACAGGGGCCAGCCCTCATGCAGGAAGAGGCAGTGTGAGTACGGGGCCTGCAGACAGAGGGGTGACGTCAGAGAATCCTGTCTTGAAAGGCCCTGCCTGCCCATGGGTCTACTTCCTTCCCTCTTCCAGATGGGATCTGGGGCAGGTCAGGGATGGGGCCCGGGGAGGCAAGAGGGGCCCATCTCAGGGCCTTATTAGTCACACAATCCTGAGAACAAGTGCCTCTCCTGCCTCGCCCTAGGCCTGACCCTGACCTTAAAAATGCTTGCTAGCCTTCTGGCCCAAGGGAGAAACACTCTGAATGGCAGGCACCAATTAGCAGGTGCCTTTCCCGTGAAGATCATCTTGCTCAGGTCATGATCCCTTCTCCTCATTCACCCAAAACTGCTCTCAACCGAGATCAAGTCTAAGGCCTTCATTTTGGAGCCAGGGAGACATGAGTTCCAAGGTTTGAATCGCTAATTTGTGCAAATTACATAATTGCTTCAAGCCTCAACTTTCCTATCTGCAAATAGGAATCATAATATGTATCATATGATTGCGTTGGTATGAGGATTAGGCGAGATGTATCTAGATCAATCAATTGATCGATCTGTCTACTTATTTATGAGCTCCCCACAGCACAATGCCTGGCTACATACACTAAGTGGATGTTCGATAAATATTAGTTTCCTTGTCCTTTGACATTTACCCTTTGAAAAACTGGGAATTTTTTATTAAAAAGTAAGACATTTGGGATCCCTGGGTGGCGCAGCGGTTTGGTGCCTGCCTTTGGCCCAGGGCGCGATCCTGGAGACCCGGGATCGAATCCCACATCGGGCTCCCGGTGCATGGAGCCTGCTTCTCCCTCTGCCTGTGTCTCTGCCTCTCTCTCTTTCTCTCTCTGTGACTATCATAAATAAATAAAAATTTAAAAAAAATAAAAAAAAATAAAAAGTAAGACATTTTTACCATTCTCTAATTTTTAAGTGGAGAGATTACAGAGTGAAATCAAAACAAGACTGAGTGAAGACCCAGGAAATTTGCGGGATGACCTTGAAAAAAAAAATCATTGCACTACCTGGGCTTGAAGGTGTATTATTTATTTGTTTATGATTTACTTATTTATTTTCCTTTACTGAGTAATAACATGGCAGGTGAGGCAAAACTTTGTTTGTTCGTTTGTTTGTTTTAAACAGGAGGTGCCAGCAAGTCTCTGTATAGGTAGACACAGCGGGGCATCCTGGAGCCAGTTGGACACAGTGATCCCTCTTGATGGAGCTGCTCCACTGGGCTGTGCAGGGACCCGCGTCCAACAGTGACACCATGTAGCAACAACAGAAACAACACCCCACCGAACTGACAACAGCTCTCTCTCTCTCTCTCTCTCTCTCTCTCTGAGAGTCCTGTGGATTGAGTAAACCCTGGATAATCTTCTATCATTTGCATGCGTATGTGGGAGACCTCTGCAGAATGAACCAGAAGCTCCCACTCATTAAGCAGGTGCTTCCTGGCATTATTAATTGGGGAGATACTAAGAACTGACCACACTCGTACCTCGAGTGGATAAACCAGTTCCCAACAGCTACACTGTAGGTTTGGTGATCCCAGGGAACCTTCACATCCATCACCTCCACGAGTCTGTGAGTTCCTCCGCTACTGTCACTTAGCGCTCTGCTGTTTACAGCACGCGTTCTCCCGCCTTCTCATCGAACGAAGCAGAGCAACCCAGCAGCATTGTGCAAACAACGACGCACCACAGAGATGACGGTTATGATCAACTTATTTGAACCTCACAGTAAGTTGGTGGGGCAGGGAGCTTAGGCATCATTAGGGGATGAATGAGGCTGAAAGGGGTTCGAGGACTGGCTCAGAGTCACACAGCCGATAGCCGCATAAACAGGGCTTGTGCCTATGCCTTCACGTTTGGAGTCATCTCTGTCTGTCCCTGACCCTCACTGGACTGCAGTTGAGGGTGCTGGCTGCCTCGGGATGCTGGCCATTACCAGGGCCGACTTTGGGGCCGCAAGTTCTTATTTCCAAGGGAGAAAGGAAGTAGTGGGATAGTCACAGCCAATGGCTGCTCTGTGCTTACTGCAAGCCAGGCTCTGGGCCAGGCTGTGTGTATCATCTCTGTGAGGTAGGTTCTGTGTTATCAACATTCCCACTTTCCCATTAAGGAAATGAAGCTCAGCAGATGATCCTGCGGCTCCACAGTGGTGGACACTTGGCTTTGAACCCAGGGCACTTGACTCCTGCTGCCATGCTATTAATCCCACCCCCGGCTCTGAGGTGATATGAATTCATCTATATAATTATAATTAAGATCGCCTATAATTAAAAATAGAGAAATTAAAAGTTGTGACCCTTGTTCCTGGATGAAATGGGGAAGGAGACCATGCAAATGCAATTTTAATGGCCCAAAAAGGGAAGCAGAGGGTTGAAGAGCTTATCATGGGGAACCAGTCAGGAGCGGCAGGATGTGCATGACCTAGTGTCAGGGTAGGTAAGTGGGAATTGGGAGCAGGTTTTTGGTGAGAATCTTCCTTCTCACCAGGAGCCATACTTTTTGCTCCTGAGGTATCATGTCCCTGATGCACAAGAGCCGGCAGGACTTGTGAATCTCTTAGTGATTCTGGAGGCAGGGGCAGCAGGGGGATGGGCATCAACAGCAGAGCAGAGCACAGTTGGCAACCCTGTGAAGGTGTGGGCAAGTTCCTGCAACGGGCGTCTGAGGGTTTGGTCTCCAAAGGCCTGTCCCCAACTTTAAAATAGTCACCATCTCTGACAGAAATGTAGGCATATGATGCAAGCCCGGCCAGCCCCGCTTTCTCATTTCTCTGGCTGCAGTGATTGGTCAGGGATGGACACAGGACCCAAGCCTGGTCAGTTAGGATCCTTCCCGGCAACTTTTCTATCTGCAGTTGACAGGGAAGTGTCCTTTCGCCTCTCTAGGACAGGAGCTGATCCCTGTCTTGTGGGGACATTGAGCCTATAAAAATGATGTTGGCAACCAAGAAAAAGCAGAGGCAAGAGACAGAAACCCCTTAAGAGTTTGATTGGTGCATCAACCTGGATGTCAAACGGAGGCCAGATCACCTCGAGTAAAGATCTGTTATTTGCAGCCAATGAGACTTATTTCAAACACTTCTTTCCACTTTGCCTTAAAGAGGCTCCCTGAGATGGGTTCAAAGACGTCTCTGGGGAAGAAAGTGAGTCCTGAGGCCTCAAGGGCTCCAGGAAAGATCTGGAACATTGTCTACTATTTCCACTGAAGCTGACCCACTTCAGCCAAGGCAGTCTGGTGATGCCCACAGTGCCAGCCCAGGGCAGGCCCCCAGGGGCTATCCCACAAGGATGCCTTTTAGCCAGGATTTACTCCCTGCTGGTGAAAATATAAACATGGTTGATTCCTAGATACCAGAGAGCAAAGGGCCAAGTGAGCTTCCTGCTCCACCGGGGGTGCTGACCCCTCCCTTTGGGCAGGCAATGGTAGCTGGAGAATCATCCCACGTCCTCAGTTCTTGCTCTGACATATGACACATACCAGCTCACTTCCTGCTCTGCTCACCTCCAGCCCCCTGGTTCTGGGACAGCTTGTCCCCCGGCCCCACCATCCCTTCCAACTTACACAGGCTGCTTCACGCACATGCTCACACAGGCGCTTGGCAGGAATAAGGAAATCCAGAAGAAAGCTCAGCCCATCCCCCTGGAAGTCAGAATCCAGGAGACGGAACACCTGCCCCAGGATGGTGGGTGCTGTGGCCTCAAAAGGAGGATAGAGGCCTGCCAGGGCATGCTGGATGGCTGTGTCCAGGGATGGCGGGTCCTGTGGGGGATAGGAGGAGAGTGTGAAAAGTGATCGTAGCAGTAATAATAAGGGTAGTGGCCACTTCCCACGACCTTCCAGGCCCCATATGACTAAAGCTGCTCCTAACTCATTGATGTCCTTTGTTACCCCTACCCCTCAAGCCCTCTTCCACCCCCTGTAGCCACACTGGCCTTCTTTCCTATTCCTCAAACACACTGGGCATCATTCCACCTCAGGGCCTTTGCATTGGCTGCTCCCTCTGTCTAGAATACTCTTCCTCAAGACATCCTCATTCCTTCACCTCCTGTAGTCTTTACTCAATGTCATTCACTGGTTCGAGGTGGAGTGGAGGAATGGGGGGCATTCAAGTCAGGGTCAGAGGGAAGGGGAGGCCAGCATCCCCAGATCCTACCATCTGACTAACCTGCGGACTTACAGTTTGAAGCTGAGCCATCAGTGAAGCCCCACCTGCAGTCAACGTGCAGATGCATCAACGTGTAGGTGCATGAGTGATAATAAATAATTGCTGTTTTTTAACACCAAGTTTTGGGGTGGTTTGTTACACAGCAATAACCGATTGATACAAATTAATGTAATTGATATGTGAGCTCATAGATCCAGACTCATATAACGAGCTGCCTCTTGGATGCCTCCCCTAGATGTCCACCAGGCACAGATCATCAACACATCTAACTCAACTTAATACGTCCCTAAACCCACTCAATATGTCCCTATGCCCATGCCTCTACCCTAGTGATGACGGCACAGTCCAGTCAGACTCCCAGACTAGATATCTGCTCCCCGTCCTGCCCCTCCTCTTGTCTCCTCTGTTCACACACACCCCTCAGCCGTGTCCTATACTCTTCTCACCTGCAGCAGCTCACCTACCAGCTCTGCTCTGGTCCCCTGTCCCTGCCCTGACCCAGGTCTCTGTCTCTTCCACTGAATCCCCTCCTCATTGCCATCCAACCTTTAGGCTGCCTCACTTCCAACCATTCTAGATTAGGAACCCACAGTGATCTTTCTCAAATGCAAACCTGACCATGAAAGTACCCCTGCTGCCTTCAGGAAAGCATCAGCCTCTGGTCATCCAGGTCCCCTGAGATCTTCATAGCCCCTTGGCCTCTCTCATGCTTCAGCCACAGTGCTGCATGCATTCTCTTGCTTACCTCTGCACCTGAAGTTCCTTCCTCCTGGAATGCTCTCCACTTCCACTCCCTCTTCACCTGGCTAACTCCCTCTCGTTCTTCGAGTCAGGTGAGGCCTCATTTGCAGCATGAGATTTTTCCTGAATTCACTCCTTCACGCCACCAGTGTGGAGCTTCTACGGCGCACCTATCATAGCAGTTCCCATGCTGATTGCCATCTCCCTCAAGGGCTCTGGGGTCCCCGAGGACAGGACAGGTAAACAAAATAGTGGCCCCCAAAGATGCCCATCACCTAATCTCCAGAACCTGTCAGTATGTTACCTCATAAAGCAAAGGGGAACGGAAGCTGCAGTTGGAATAAGCATTGTGAATCAGCCAGCCTTAAAATAGAGAGCGTGTCCTGGATTATCCAGGTGGGTCCCAAGCAATCATAAGGGGCCTCCAAAGTGCAAGAGGATGCAGAAGAGGCGGGAGTCAGGGGCAAAGGTGACATCGGAAGAAGGACCCAAGAGAGACCATGTTGCAGGTTTTAAAAATAGAGGAAGAGCCCAGGAATGTGGGCTGCTCCCAGCTGCTGCAAAAGGTGAGCAGATTCTCCTCTGGAGTCCCCCGGAAGGGGGGCAGCCTGCCAACACCTCAATTTGAGCCCAGTGAGCCCCGTATTGGGTTTCTGGTCTGTAGAGCTGCGAGATAATAACCGTAGGCTGCTTTAGGCTACAAAGTCTGCGACCACGACCAGCAGCCCTCGAAACTGCCACAGCTGGCGGCTCCTCTTTCTCCAGGGCCTCGGCCTCCTGGCGTGGGGCCTGGGCCAAAATACCTGCTCAGTAAACACTGTGGGAGGACAAACAGAACGTCCCTCTCTGAACCACAGGTTTTCCCATCTGTCAAACAGCCTGGACAAGACTGGAGGTTTCCAATCAGGTGTAGCATTAGAACCCACAGGTTATGATTTTCAGTTCTTAGGAAGCCCAGGGGAGGCCGTTTGGGTTGGCCCAGACTGGTTGTAAGCTCTGGGCCCACCTGTCACTGAGAGATGCAAAGGAAGATGGGAATGAACGAGAATCCAGCATAAAGGGAGCTTATGTGGGGCAGAAAAATCATTTTTACAAATGAGGTCCCTTAAGACAGGGAAATAAAACACTGTCTACCCCTCAGCGAGTCCAATGCCAGGAGGCTATAAAGCAGGGGGCGCTAGCCCGGGGCAATTGGAGGCCCAGCACCCACACAGCGCTGGGCACAGAGTAGGGTCCCCACCACTGTTTGCATAAGCAATGAATGTCTGTCTACGGCCCGCATTCTGCAGGAAGGAGGGTCTCGCCACCGACACGGCGTGAACTCAGCGAGGACAAAGTATTGCAGGTACTTGATGTCAAAAGCACGCGTGCCCAGGAAGGGCTACGTTCACATTGAGGTGCTAGGCAAGGTTGGGCCGGGGGCATCTTCAGTTAGCAGAACAGGGAAAGGCTCATCTGGCCTGGCCACCTCTTCTAGTGCTCTTTCCCTCCAAAGCAAGGCCAAAACCCCAAGAGGTACTCTCCACTGACACAATCCTTGAGGACAGCAGTGGGAATGGGGACCCAGAGACAGAGGATCCTGTCTGACATCTGTGAACACATGGACACACTAAGTCAATTAAGGCAGCACCCTTCCCCCACCCCATGCCCTCCCCACCCCACCCAGCCTCTCCGGGGCATTTGCTTCCTGGGTTCCAAGTCACTGTGCCACCACCTTCAGTAGATGCTTTCCTTCTCAGGGCCCCTTTCCCTGCGTGCACGCCTAGATGAGCTAGGTTTGTTTCCTTTTGTTTGTGGAAATTTAATCATTGAAGTTTAGCATATGAATCATATGAAGTTTAGCATATCCCAGTACCATTTGTACTATTAGCTCTTACTGGTTTGTTTTTTTCAAATCACTCACTTTAAAAAAAAAAAAAAAAACTTACATAATTGCATTGTAAATGGAGACCCTGTGCCACCATACTGGTTATGAGAATGCAGCCAGACAGCCCAAGTTCAAATCCCGGCTCTTGCCACTTCTTGCTTATGTGACCGCCAAGTTGCTTAGCTTTCTCTGCCTCAATTTCCTTACCGGGAAAACCGGGGCTTGCGAGGTACATGCCTTAAACGATTGATCGAGACCGAATGAGGTAAGACACGTAGGGTCTCTCTACAGGACTAGCACTTAGTAGGTGCTCATTCAGCAACAGCCATTGCTTTTATGCTTGTGGCCATTACTGTGGTTATTACAATGGTATTACGTGGAAAATCATCAAGTGGCATGTACAGAATGGAACTCCAAAAATAAACCAATGATGCAAAAAAAAAAAACAAAAACCAATGATGCATTGGGCAGTTTTTGTATTATTTTATTTATATAAATATATTTATATTTATCATATGTATTTATTATTATAGCTACAGGATATACCTTACATTAGTATATATTTCCATAAATAATGTAATGTATAACTATAGAATAAATAACACGTTATATAAAATATATTTCTTTACTGGTCTAGTTCTATACAAATAAACTATTTTTTAAAAGCAAAAGTAAGTAATGAGAACAAATACATTTTCTAAATTAAATTCTAGGACATCTGGTCACCTCCTAAAGGCTCATCAATTTTCTCTCTTTCTTCCAAAGCAAGCTTGCCACGCATTAGAAAGGTGGTGAAGACATCTTATTTTGAGAGGGGGGGTTTTCTTTTGGGGACCTCAGAACACCACAGAAATATTTAAAGGGACTGAGTCTCCCACCCACACGACTCCATTTTACTTAGCTCCAGTCTGTGACAGCCTGTGTCCCTACTACGGTCTGTGTGCCAACCTCCGAGCAACACTGAGCTAACCATCTCTGTCTTGTGTGCCTCAGTTTCCTCATCTGTAAACAAGGATTCTAGAGCCTATCCTATCTTGCTCAGATGATTCTTCTGCGGATACAGGGAGATGATGGAGGAAAGGTAAAGGGGCTGCTGTCTTTTTTGGGATTGTCTTTTTGTTTTTATTCCTCCTGTCAAAGCTGGAGTCACCGCCTCTGTGTGAAGACATGTTCCCCTTCTGACCCCTTTCTGAATCCACTGCTGTCACCCCAAGAATAACAGCAGCTTCTCGGCACCTGCCGTGTACCAGGCCCTGCACTCACATTCCCTGGCTTAGCCACACAACGGTCCTGGAGCAGAGGGAACATCCCACTCTGAAGCTGATCAGGTCTAAGACTGCAGAGAGGAGAAGAAAGGCTGCGCCAGGATCCAACCCAGTCTTCCAGTCTTGGCCAGTTGGGTCCGCCCTCTCCCCCCCCCCCCCGCCCCCTGGGGCCTTGCCCGCCCCCCTCCTTGGCCACCGGCAGCCACCAGCCTTCGCTGCCTCGCTGCCTCGGTGGCCTTCCCAGCGGCCTCTCCTGCAGTGTTTCAAGCTGTTTACTTCTCGCAGCCTAAAGCTCGCAGATGGGATGCCTTTGGCTTTCACAAATGGGCTCAGTGGCCACACACTATAACGATTTTAAGGGGCAGCCAGTAAAAAACAAGAATGTTCCAAGTTAATGGGACTCCAAGCTCTTGGCCAGACCATTACCTGCTACAGGCCTGAACCCCAGGGGTTCATAAGCTATCCAAGTATGAGGATAAGCACACAGTAAGGAGCCCAGGAACCCGCAGGAAGGAAAGCTGGCCACTCTCCACTCAAAACCAATCGGGCAGCCCAGCCTGGGCCCGCAGGAACCCAAACACCGCTGGCCAGGCGCGGGCCCCTCAAAATGATTTCCGTGAAACTTAATCGATGTGTTTCCATTCCTCCCCAGTGAGCACAGCCAGGCTGGGCCTTTAACTGTTCCTCGGCAGGAGCCAGGAGCCAGCGTGAAGCTGAAAAG